AGAATTCTGAGAAATAAAGTCAGAATTCTGAGAAATAAAGTCAGAATTCTGAGAAATAAAGTCAGAATTCTGACTTTTTTCCCTTACTAAACTGAAATAAAATTTTAAAATCAGTTATCTTTTTTTTTTTTTTTCCAGTGGCCCTAATCCTCTTCCGTGACTTTACGCCACAGCAATGCACTTTTTTTTCCTTCTTATGTATAGCTTTTTAAATTGTCTGGCCAATGAAATGCCAATCCCCCAACGCCCATGTTCTGTAGATTAAATTGAATCTTAATCCTGCCCCATTTTCCAAGTATTAATCTAATCTAAACCAAGCATGTGCAATCTTTCCCATCCAAAGCGCTATTTTCCCCTTAAATCTGGCTAAATAAAACTACCTTAGAGAACTTAATGTTAGCAGATCCTTGAAAAAAACTCTCATTGAAAATGTTATTATTTCTCAATTTAAAAAAGATTACTTAGCTCTCAAGCTAATTAAAAGAAAACTATATTAAATATACCACTGGTACTTTTAATGTCATTCTGTTTTGGAAATTCGTTGCAAGTTTGCAACGATTCCATTAAAAATTGAAATAGCCTGAAAATCCTGTGAATGTTTTTTTTTTATATTGAGATACTTTATTTTTCAAGCTTTAAGGCAGTTTTTCTCCAAATGAATGAAATGAATGAATTTTAAACTTTCTTCCAAATGAAGAAAGTTTAAAATGCTTAAAAAAGTTAGAAATCTAGGAGATTTTCTCTTGTATCCAGACCAAAAACAGATTAAAAGAAAGTCTGACTATCTCCAAAGAAAAAATGAAAGGGAAATTATTCCCCAATGGTAACATAAAGCCCATTTGTTTTGATGGGCTTTAACAGAAATGTCCAGACTTTGGCTAGAAAGCATTGCAGCATCTAATAATAATGATGTTAAAATCTTTTTTCATGTGACCCTATTTGAAAGGATTCCTGGTTGCAGAGAATACTGAAGCATAAATAGTGGGTGTGGACTAGATAAAGTGTTGGGGGATGGGGCTGGACGCCTAGGTCAGATCACTATTGGAGGAACAGGAAAGCTTGAGGCACATTCTTTTAGGAACATACTGAAAGAGAGCAGTTTACTTATACCTTTTCAATAAATCTTTCAATTATAAATCACATTAGAAGATATAAAAGATGGAACTTCATAGTTTAAAAAATATGAGTAATAAATATATATATATTTATTCACACACACATATATATATATACATATATACAGACACACACACATGTATACAGACACACACACACATATATATACATGTATACAGACACACACATATATACAGACACACACACATATATATACATACAGACACACACACACACACACATATATACATGTATACATACAGACACACACACACACATATATATACATGTATACATACAGACACACACACACACATATATATACATGTATACATACAGACACACACATTATATATATATATATATATACATACAGATAGATGTAAAACATTTAAGCACATTTTTAATTTAAACAATGTATGAAATTGATAAAGTCTATTTGTGTGCAAAAGTCAAAACCTAAAGACAGTGAAGAAGCACAAGAGCAAA